CTCTTCTTTGCCAGACGACAAGTTCTTGACTCAAACTGGTCACGATATTTGGTTTGGATTCTTTACCCTTCCCAGCTGCACAGGTTCTTCTAACTTTAACTTCTTCTCTGCTCTTACGACCATAACACTAATCCCATGAGGCCTGAGTTGAAGGGAAAATATTATCAATCAACATTTTAGTTATTACACAGTTTGTCATATCAAGTTATATGTCGTCACATTTTATAACTGTAATGCTACAAATGTAGCCTTCAAGGGCAGCCGTTTTTTTTTTTTNGTGGGTCTCTTGTTCTTGTGAGGGGAAGCAGTAGTACTACCGAAAGTGGAAAGCTCAGGGATAAACGAAAGGGATATTCGGTATCTGTAATTCCCCCTCCCCCCCTCGCCCTCTTCCTCCAACATACTGTATATCCAGTCTACCAACTGAGTTAGCAATATAACCACACATCTCGCCATTCAGTGTTTTTATTTCTAACTACATAACACATAAAATTCCAGCACGTATGCTAGTATAACAGTGTTTCGTCGATAAATTGTGTTGCTAAATAAACCCCTTCCTGGCGCTAAAATAGAGCCAAAATATTCACAGTATGTACAGCTTTATGAACTGTTAAATACCGTTTCTCTGCGAAGCTCAGTTATGTCAGAGAAACACAGCAGCTAATTTATTTCTTTTCGGGGAATTAACGTAAAGGTAACTCTACTATAGTGTCATTCAACAATGTCATTAAAAATGAAAATCTTCGTGAAGAAATGTTCTAATGGTGTTCAAGAAGAAACATCCGATTTAATGAGCCATTTTCGAGTTGCTTTTTACCTCGGTTTCAAAACGAGTCTTGTTGCACAACCTTTCATTTTGAAATGAGTTTCTCTTGCACGTTCTTTGTCTTGCAAAACAAATTCATTTCCGTATGAAAGGTTGTGCACCGCCCTCGTTTTGAAATAGAGGCAAAAAGCAACTCGGAAATGGCTTATTAGGACAATTTTCTTAAATGACTGTACTAAAGCTGAAAACAAAACCAATGTAATGCCAATCACCACACCATGCACACGTTATACCCAAATGAACCAATCAGAACTCGATATTGAACATATCACGTGTGCCCCTCGTGGTAAATTTGCTCTCATTGGTAGAGGCGAGTAGCATGTGGTTTTTAACCAACATTATAAAACTCAGATGCAAAATGGCCAAACCAAACACAAATTAGAAATACATTTGACAGTCAGTTCCAAACACAAGTTCAAACTGCTCATGCTGGCATGCATCTGTAGATGTAGCTGTTATAACGTGTTTCACTGTACAGGCAATAACAGTCCAAGCCGCATTCACAATCACTATAGACATGATCATATTTGCCGGAACTCTCCACCACTCGGCAAATTGCGTTATCACAAATAGCGTCACACTGTGGAAAATAATAATAAAATCAAATGAAAAAATGTATTTAAAACGTTACTAGACTATTGTAAAAAGTTATACTAGCCTAATAAATTACTAGGCCAATCAAATCACTACTGTCTTAAAATCACTACCAATGAAATTGCTAGTAGTTGTGATAAGGTTACTATACTGTAACAATTATTATTAAATTTAAAGCCTTGTTGAAATAGTAATCTAACGAAATCATTAGTCTAATACAATTTCTGGTCAAATGAAACTAAACAAAAAGAAGGGTAGGTGTTTCTATAAACATGACAACGACACATGTAACGTTTGTAATATTCCATAATTAGGAACTGCCTATATATCAAGTCTGCGCTATTTCCAGCAACTTAAAAGGTTTCCAACCTTATTTATTTGTTCTCGCTACAATTTAAGGTTGCATGCTGCTACTTCCGGATCAATTGAGAACCAAAAGCCCAACGTTTTAACTTTGATTTAGACCATATATGAAATTTCTTCCAGAAATTGATTTTCCATCGTTTCCACAATTTACTCCAATCCAAAGGCCTTCTGTTTTTTATCGTTAAAGGAGCTCGGTCACGGTGTTTTGTCTTTTTTTCTGGCCACGTACAAAGTCTCCTTTAAATGGAAGGAAACCTGAAAATAATAGTTTACCAAGATAGAAAAATATCAAAGAGATAATAATAAACCATAAAGGAACAAGGATGGTCAAGGATGGCGAAGATTGACACGGATTGCAAACGACGAATTTAAATAATTTAGGCTAAACTTCTCAAAGTGTGCAAACCGTGACTGAGCTCCTTTTAGTTTTAAAGCAGACAGGCCATTAGGGATTCTTCTAGTATGAGTGTTGTATCCTCTGCATATTTCTTTACTGTTCACGAAGATACCTTTTTGAAGGTAACACAAACGTATTAAAATACTTTTATTTTCCCGAATTGCCTTGGCTAACTCTTCAACTGACAAAACAAACGAGTAAGGTGAGAGAGGACAGCCTTGTCTTACACGTCTTTGAATTTCAAAGAAATTGCTCGCCCAACCTTTGTTCAAAACACAGCTCTCTGGGTGGCAACAAAAAAGATTCGGCCACTTCAAGATGCTGCTACCAAAACCAAAAAAATGAAAGACCATTCTATCGTGTCAAACGCTTTTTCGAAGTAATCCTGGAATATTTTTCTCTTCAGTATCACAAATGACACTATCGATAACGCCAATGTTTTCTCCAAAAAATCTACCTTTCATAAAACCAGTCTGGTCGTAATTGATAGGATTAGGGAGAGAAGATGCCATGCGATAAGCAATTGACTTTGCCACTAATTTGCAGTCGAAATACAGGAGGGTTAGGGGTCTCCAGTTTTGATAAAGGATGAATGAGTTTGATCCTCTTCTCTGGGTTATTGAGAGTTTTCCAGTTTCATAAGTGTAGTTCAGTGCTCTAATAAGTACCTAGGATGGTGGATTTATCATTCCAAAACACTTTGTAAAATTCAGCTGGCAAACCGTCAGTCCGAGGGATCTTTTCTGTTCCCATATCTTTTAGTGCCTCTAGGCATTCTTTCTCGGTTAGCCCTCCTTCGCGCGCATGTTCGTTGATGGCTCTTTCATCTTCACGCTCAAAAAAAGTTGTGTGATTTTGACGTTTTACAACGTTTTAACTCGACAGGGTTCTTCGTTTTGCAGTAGAGCACGTTTGAATTCCCAAACTTTTGCGTTGCGTGATATTAAAACGGCCGCGCGAGAAAACGGTCGCGTAGGTCAAAAGATGATCGAGTTCTCACTTAATTGTTTGCGAACTGAACAGTTCTTGTACTAGAAGTGGTATTGATTTCAATGTGTCGGAGCTCTAGTGTATTCACGTTTCACAACATGGCGTCTCCATACAAGCTTTATAAATCTGGGTGAAACACTTCTCCGAATAACCCACGAATGAAAAACCGCAATGATCAATCATCTGTCATATCCCAGATCGGCTTGACTTTTTATTGTATGGTGACGATTTTTATTTTTGATTAAAACTAGCAATACATAGTCCGAACAGGCATCACCTATTTTGACTTCGTTCTCCGATTTTTGTTGCGCTTGCTGTAATCATATATCTTTTCCACAACAACCAATATCACACTTACCCATGCGTAGATCATTTGAGCTACTCTCTTTCTGAACTGATTGGGCGCACGTTTGAACGAATAAATACCATGCACTTCATCTGTAACCAAGGCACACAGCAACACAAGTAAAAGAACCTGGGACGCTCTGCGAGACATCGTTACTGCAAAGAAAAATAGCGATTCGCTCTAAAATGCCCAGCAGAAGATCCTTAGTTTTCCAAACTGAAATACACCTCCGGGTCAAAGTCACCTTGAACTCAAAACAAGAAGAATGCCCACAACAGTCAAAACCAACGTTACTTTTTCTATTGACAATAAGCAGCAAAAACGTTAAGGTAACAAAAGTAAAGGTTGATTGTTGTGCACAAAATATGTCGCAATGAGAACAAAACTTTTGTTATTCACTAGTTTCGTCTCGTATTTGGTTTTCAGCTTACAACTTTCTTTCGGTCTTTTTTACTTTATTTGCAGACCTCTTGCTATTATCATTCACACTTTGTAATTAAGATTGTTACAATGCGGCAGGCAATACAACCGGAAGTGACGGAACCGGAAGTTTCCGTTTTCAGTTTTATCGTCAGGTATCCAAGCAGTTTCTAAGCAGCATCCTTATGATCCTATGCAGCCAGGCCTGGAACCGGGCGACGAAGTTAGTTCTGTTTTCGCGCCATTTTCGTACATGTGGTGGACTGGGTCCGGAAGGATAATATCTAGCTTTTTCTTTCGTGATCATCATTTACGTATCAATACACAAAGTATTGGCCCTATTCTCCCAGAGGAGAGCTAGGAATTAGTAGTAGTACACAAAGTCAAAACAAATGTTAATATCAGATTGGGGTGGCTTCAAAAAGAGAGCAGAACTGGCCTGGTCTGAAAGCCCGGTCGAACCATTCGCCAGGATCGGTTTAACAGGTTATAAGTCACGTTCCAACTTCCTCTAAAACAACATGTTATTATAATATTTGGACATATCCAATTAAAAGTGTGTAGTTACCTCAAATCACGAAAACGTTGCTAACCCTTCACAACACGCTCTTGCACAACAGACTGGGGGTATTCGGTTTTCTTAATTTTTTCTGTGGGTGGGCAAAATCATTAAGTTGAAATTTCAATTTGCAAGGAATTCAAGCCGCCAATAAACGGTGTTTCTGTCTCTTTTTAAGAGATACTTCACAAATTCGCAACACTTGAATTGATTTTCAGCGGAAGTTATTAAAAGGTAAGCTTGTTATCTAAATTTTGCAAACGCAATGTTGTCGTTACGAAACATCATAATTGATGTTTTTCCACCGATAAACGACTTCTGATCGAAATAAAGATTGTGTTTATTGCGGTCGCGTTTTATTGTCCGAATTATAGTAGTTTTAATACAACATGTCTTTTGTTTCAACGGTTCGATGATAATTAAGATTGGCTTTATAATGGCCCCCAAATCAAAAGATTGCCGAATAATACAAAAATAGCAGTACCACATTACTTTCAAGTGTTTTGCATTTATGTAATGCCTTTGGTAGAAATACTTCTGAATATTCAACATAAGATGCTAAGACTTGTCCCTGCAGATAGATCGGCGAGATTCGAGGATAGACTTTGCCTACCGGTTAAGAATATCAAGACCTTCGATACAGACTGACAACCTAAAATTATTGACCGTGAAATCCACCTAATAACAAGCTGGGTTGTTTTCTTTAATTACAACTATCAAGGCAAATATAATTCGTTTTCCACGTAGATTCCAAGGCGTTGTCGAAAGGGATTTACGTTAGCCAATGTGGATATGAACTGAACTGATTGAACTCCATCGCCAGTATGCGCCGTTTTGTGGCGCAGGTAGAATTAGCCCGCCAAAAATTTCAAATTTCGTGTCGCTCGTAACAAAGTTTCCGTTGTAAATAAGGAATCTCGTTCTGTTACAGCCAATCTTCAACAAACGCATTACTTGTGAGACGAGACGACTGAACTCAGTAAAATGCATAAGTAAATTTACCTTCCAAGCTGATGAGGTGATATCTCGCTTTATGAAGACCTATCAGTGTTGATCTAAGCGAAGTAATGTTGCTCGTGCACGCTCTTCCAGCAGACTGAATTCTTGAATTTCCCTCGCTTGTTATTCACCCAGCATGCATGCACTGTGATTGGTAGATGTCGATCATAACGAGAGATTTTATGGCTTATCGACCTGTCTAGATCTGTGGGAATAAATACCAAATTCATATCTTAATGCTCAACCCTTAACTCGCTTATTTGTGCTATGTCCCGTCCATAGTTAGAGTGAATTAAATCTGATAATAACTTTTGATGACGGGAAGAGAGTGCGGCAAGTACGTCTCGGGGAAAAAAAAATTTAAATCGTTATTATGCTAAAACCATCAAGCTTTTTTCAACGCAGTGGTCGACCTACTTGTTTTATTCTAGGATTTGACTTGAGGTCAAGCCTAATTTTGTAATTTTTCGTATCAATTACACAGATACAATAGAACAATGTAACAGGAGGCTTTTTCATTTTTCCCCCTAAAAGGGTCTTAAAACTTTGAACCAAACGGAGAGCGCAAATTCACTAACAACCTTATCTTCAACGCCGGTACGATAAGAAATAGTTCGGTGAAACTATGCAATGCAATAAATGGAGGTTTTCGGAGATGAAAATTCTAATGCCGTTGTGATTTGTTTTTGATAGCTAAAACAGGAAATTCTTCACAGTCTAATAGCGAATTAATATGACATTCGAATATGAAAATAGCACACGTGTCCTCAATCTTTATATGCGTCAGTGCTGTCCTAAGTTTATCCAAATATGGACGCCGAGACTTGAAACAATCACAATTTTCCACCTACAATATGTGCCATCCAAAATTCATTATCTTAATACAAATAACAGCTTCTTTGAGGTATCATGGTAATATCTGTCCATATCTGATGAAATGCCAGAATAAATTACACAACAAATGTTTTTACTTTTACATAAATATTTGCTTTGTAACTTTTACTTGTTTATTTCCCAAATTATCGCATTTTTGTAATGATGACAACTACGTCTTTTTCACGTGCTTTCCCTGTTGAGTGCATTCTGCGTTCTTGGTTGATCATCAAGTCGTCTTTAGAGACCTAGAGCTATGTTACAGAAACGTGTATACATGTTCATAATCTTTTGGGCGGGAAGAGGAATCTAGTTACTATTATTAATTTAGAACTGGCTTCATATTATGTAACAAAGCTATCTGTTACCATTTCGATTGGTTGTCAGTCTGTACCACATTGTTATCAGCATCCTTGTCAATGAGGTCTATTTTTGTTTTAACATTGTGTAAACTAACTTACCATCAGCAGATTGGAAACATCTTTGGGTCCTTTGGATATTTATAGTATGTAAGCTCAGTTATATCTCTAATACTCGTTCTGGACGTTGTTAATTACCATCTTTTAATTTCTTCATTAATTCCTGTCGACCTCTTCATTCTTTCTACCCTGTGAACAGAGTCTCCCTCGATTTCAAATTTTTCTAGGAAGATCAAAGGAAAATCGAGCTAAGGTATATTTTAATAAGTAAATAGTTTCCCCAATTAGTTTTTTTTAAGCTAAATACCATTGACACTTAAATAAAGTCTTTCATTCATTCATTCATTCATTTATTCATTCATTCATTCAGTCATTCATTCATTCATTCATTCAGCTAAATCCATTCGTTACCCTTCATTCCTTCCATCCGTCCGTCCGTCCGTCTTTCCTTCCTTCCTTCCTTCCTTCCTTCCTTCCTTCCTTCCTTCCTTCCTTCCTTCC